GTTCCGTATTTCCGTCAAAACAGTTAAATGTAGCAAACATTAAACATTATGATAATTACTCTGAAACTCTTATCTTTTATTGATCACAGTAGTCTTTTCACGTTTTTGTATCTGTATACGCTTATATTATGTTGTTGAGACACAAAATTTTCATTAACGATTGATTTTGTTTTTATTTATACAGTTCATTTTTCTTCCTCGAATCAAACAATTCTTTAATTGTTAGATAGTATTAACGGAATGCAACATAAAAGTCTTAACGCGTTAATATTTTCAGTATTATCGAAAGTGACTGAACATTTGATACCGTTCAAAATGTTAATCATTTGTTTGAAATGAAATGAATGTAATTATTTTATTTATAAAGTACGATTAGGTGTCTGGATTTTTATATAGTTGGCGTAGTTGTAAAACAAATCGTAATTTTTCCGTCTCCTCTGAACATGGAAATTGGTCAAATGTTTTTGGACAATAGTCTACATACTTTTAATAATATTTCTTACTGTTCTGTGTATCTTCTGTTAACTTAGTAATCAATTTAAAATCGTTTTCTGAGAACATAAATCAAACTAAAATCTCTTGTATTAGCCTAAAACGTAACAGTACTACCATATGAAATGTACAATCAGAACGACAATGACAATAATAATAATTAGACTGTTGATTTTTATGCATTCATAAGAAATTCGAAAGTACAAAATATATATATATATATAAAACATTCAAATTATTATATTTATAATATGTGTTACGTAGGTGAAATCATTTTCTATCGTAATTCTATTTTCCTAATTATTTTCCCAAAAATCTGTATCTGCATACAGATTCGCAGTCTAACGATACCAATATTATTCAATTTTCTTCTGTGTTTCAGTTACGACACAGAAAATGGTATATCTGTAGCGGAACAAGGTGTACCGAAATATGTCGGACCAAATCAGGTCGAGTCCGTACGAGGCCAGTTCAGTTACACTGCACCAGATGGTACGCCGATTTTGGTTACTTACACTGCCGACGAAAACGGTTTTCAACCGAACGGTGCCCATCTACCAACGCCACCGCCGATACCAGTCGCAATACAACGTGCTTTGGCTCACAACGCGGCTCATCCCGAAGAAGAAGAACCATACAGACGATACTAAAACACATTGTCGTTCGAGTCTTGACTATAGGATCCTCTTTTCGAAGCAGATTTACGCAGTATAACATACTTGGATGATGAACTTCCCGTTCCTCTACGACCATGGTGAACTACCAATAACAACAAAGATTAATCCTGGAATAATGATGCCTGCGTTCATTTTGACCCAGTCTTGTTTAAATGCTCTATCTAACTTCTCAGATTCCGGCGACTAATTTAATTCAACTTTTTAAATAATTACCAACAACATCTACGTGTCTTACTTACTTAAATTTACTTGCGCGAATTACCCTAAGTGATTTACAATTTCTTATGTGGTTTTGAGATGCCAAAGCTACATTCGGAAATAGTCCAGGCCAGTTACTTGAATTCGGTTTAATAAAGAAATTTTCGGAGAAGTATTTTCTTAACTATGTCGAAAGCGATAAATAGGTATATTTAAATGGACGTGGATACGTAGCCTGTAATATTATTAAAAACGTTCGCTTTCTGAGAGTTAATATCTTACGCTTATGAATAGAACATATTATAATTATCAACATGGGTTTTTCTTTGTATTAGATAAACCAGATATTGTATTTAAATGGTTGAGCGGTAAAACAATTAAGTTGTTCGAGTATCTATTTTTGTACTTCTCAATTTGTTAATGATGTCCTTGTCATTTCACTTTTACGTTGATGTAGAAGTAAAGAACGATTACGGCATTTATAGCTGCGATATTGATAATAAAGAATTAAAAGGGACGACGAGTTTCCCACTGTTTTATGATGTAATGAACACGAATAAATTGGAAGTGATACAAATTTTTTGCTTAAGTTTTTATATGTTGTACTGTCAATTAATTTATTAATCAATCGATTGATCGCGTTATGTAAACCAGCGACGAAGATCAATATCTCGCTTCGTTGTTTCTAACGTGATTAAGTTAATTTGTTGATCGTAATAGGTTTCTGAACTATTTTCTCCAATCCATTAGTATCGTTACTTTCATCGTAATTACGATAAGTAAAAATAGTTTCCCATTTTGAACGTGAATGTATCTATGGAAAGTTGCGACAGTGGAGTAGAAGGAAACAGCGTGACATGAATTCGAATGTGTTTATACGTAATGTTATTCAATATTATAGTTTTCATTGTAATATAATATATAAATACACATGTGTATGTGCCTATAAATACATATTCATGAAAATATCATAACAGTTTCTGTATTATTCACTTTTTTGGCGGCCTGTAGAATAAGGAAAACGTGAAAGAAATCTTAAAAATAAATGTGTTGTTTATTATGAGACTAACAAAAGTTTTCATAGATATATATTTCGTTATATTTTACATATTTTAATGAACTACGCAACGCATTTTTTTTTTCAATTAAATATCCTACATTTAATACTATGTAATTATTTAATAATTATTAGATTAAGTTAATAATAGCAAAATAAGACGCGAACAAATTCATAGAGAGTAATTCATACATTCAAATGCGAAAGGCGTACAGGAGAAGTACACCAGCTTAAATTTCTACATAAATTTTGTTCAACTCAAAATACTTATTTATTTTGATAAACTGGTATAATTAGTAATTAAGAGTAAAACTACCAGACTGGTCAAAATCAGCCATTCCTGACTTTTTTTGCGATTATTAAAAAGATAACGGATGTTTCTCTGAGACATTATCAAAGAATCTAATTTAGGAATATGCAAATTAAACTGTAAATCAATTAAACTCTCAATACATGGATTCTTGGAGTTTCCATAGAGGAATTTCAGAAGGTTAATTTCATTGCTCGGTAGTTTTAGTGTTAACAAATCCTTACATGGCACACAACAACTAATAAAATAACCGTTTAAATTGGTCTTGTTTTTAACAATTCAATTTCATTTTTGAGGATGGCTAGCTATATCGGCATACCTCAATCAGTCTTGGCGAGTGTCCTGCGGATAATATTCGCTGAATAGTGCATAGCAGGATGTTGATAGTTTTTCGGTAGAACGTGCCGAGTTAAGGGGTTAAATAAAGCGCGTCACGGGGTACCTACATACACTGTGTTTACATGTCACGATACATTTAGAGCTACTACTATCAATAATGTCATCAAAACGTATGGATGTTATCGAAATAATTTTATCAAAAACGAATAATTCGATGTATCGATATTGTTCAAGTATTTATGAAGTAAGTTTAAGTTGAAAATACAGAATCAATATTGTTTTCTCAAGTTTCAGAATTTGTAGAACTAGTTTACAATAATTTTATTAAGATACGAATTCCTTAGTACAATACCCAGTTCCTTAGAGCTAAAACTGAACGACAATGTGAAGTATTGTATTATTGACCACTTGATATTATTTGTTTTTGACAAGTGTACTTGTCATGACGAAATGGAAAGCTTTTGTGTATGTCGAGTATACTTGTCATGCTTAACAAGTAATGATAACTTGCTGTTAAAATTACAATTTTAGCGAAAACTAATATATATTCATAAATTTCAAGTTGTTTTTTGAATATTTTGAGGCCAGGGCTAAATAAAACGAATAAATATATTGGCGTCCGACGTGCAAAACATTATGTATTGTACCTTGTTTTGTTCAATATCATTCAACAAAAGCAGATGAAACTAACTAATCACTTTCAGTTAAGCAAATAAAGCCACACATACTTTGTGTTTGACGAGTACACTCGTCATCGCTTATTTTTTGTGACGCATTTTAAATACACGTTTATCAAAGAGGTCGCAGCAGCTAATTGGTTAACACGTTCGTTACTTGTTATTTAAAGTTATAAGATATGGTATTATACTTAGGAACTCAATGATTCATTTTAATTTTTTTCCAATATTTTATTTAGAAGATTTGTTGAATTGTATAGAATATTACAATTGAAAAGATCGTCACTGAAACAAACTCTGGTACCGAACGGGTTAAGGGATGAACTTTCCAAAGGTAAGTCAAAAGGAAACGTTATGAGCAAAGTCATATCTAAGAAAAGTTTTATGGAGACTCTTGTGGATTGGATGAATTAATTGCTAAAAGGAATTTGATTCTGTTCTTATAAAACAACGGTGAATAAATACGGCTCTTAGTCGAATTAAGTGCGACTGACATTGAAATCCAATTTTATTTGTTATTATTCCAGATTTTTGTTAATTGCACAATAATTTTATTATGATAAAAACTTGTATAAAATTTAAGGTATTAAATGTGGTGTGGCTGTTTTCAATACATAAAAAACCTGCATGCGGTTCTCATTGTTGACCTCATGTATGCCCACCTTTGCTATAAAAGAGTCGATTAATGTCGTAAAGGCTATTAAATGAATTTAATCTGGCATATTCAAACTTTTGTTTATACATCTTAAACTTGACTTGCACTGTATCAGACTCCAGAACATGTCATTATTCATCCCTGGTTCATTCACAATGACAAGAAATAAATTCGTTACAGAAAATATCATACATTAAGACATACATAATATTGTATATATATTATTATTTACAATAAATAATTTCAAATTAATAAATACAATTTTAATAAATTTATTAAAAAGTTAATGTTCCATCTTTTTGTGTAATTGTAGAAAGTGTTGTTATGTTCAAATTTAAAACGATGTGAATTAGGACGTTTGAAATAATTCTGAACTGTTATGGTTTTGTACCAAATGAAATACTTCTATTGACTCATATTATGTCGAGTATTTTTGTATGTATTGCGCTAATAAAATAATTAAATTTCAAATTTTATATATATCGAGGACCAATATTTTTATACTCTCAGCTTGTTATACTTTTTTTTAAGAATTTATCCTTTCAGATAAGAATAACTATGTAACTTTGTTAATATCGTTCGCAATAAAATAAACATTATTTTAAGAAATAGTTGTAATTATCTATTTAAAGAGTGAAAGACGTGTATAAAATAAATTATCTCTATTATGAAAAAAATGACTACGAATATCTAATAATTTCTATTTGATTAATCAATGAAATATATTAAAGATTCTACTTGTTTATTTTGCTTAATAATATTGTATATACACATAGAAATTATACATGAATGTACATGAAGAATGATAAATAAAATTTACAAAATTATGATTAATTGAAATAATTTCAAGCATAGTAAACGAAATGAGGCATTAAATTTAAATTTAAAATATTCTATTGAATTCGTCTTATTGTTAGTCGTAGAATATTCTCTATTGATGTAGTATGACTTTCGATAGAAGCGTTTCATGATTTCGGATTATAGAATTAAAGGAGGTGTGAAATTTAGGAAAAGTAACCGAAGTACCAATCGGATTAATGCTAATGGTAATCGTAATATCACGTTAAAGGTGAGTCAGTGAAAGCAAATCATCGGTTTCTTGTCCATTGCACAACGATCGACCCATCTACCGACCTCACGATTGTAAGTAAAAGGATTTTAACGCATCCCACGCAATTTCTAACTGCTTTCATAATTCATATTTTAAATTTGACATCTCCAGTAATTGCCCCTAATAAAGTCCGGTAATTACAAAAAGTATTTTAACAGTTATGACAAATATTGAAAGTAATACCGCTGCCGTCGGTGATACTTGATTATATGTATTGTGTAGCTATACTTTAAATAGCGAATGAAAAATACTATAGAATAAAAGTGTTGAATATAACGCTTCTAGTAAATTTATTGCAACCATTTACTCGAAAACTATAAAATAGCTAGGAGATTACATCGGAATTGTAATTCTCAATTTATGAACAATTCCTATACATTTGCAGTCACATTAAGAACTCAGTGAAGTGCAGATGTTTTTGAAAAAATATCTTCGATGATGTGACACAAATGCAGCTCTCTTGTTTTCTTCATAAGTTCAAAGCATTATTCTGGCAAAAAAATGAAATATATAAAATGAAGTTGTCGGGTAAAATTGTGATCGTCAAGCTTCATGTTACACAAATTAGTTCTGTATCGATATTTTACTTCACTTCATCTTCCTACAATCATAATTTTATAAGTACCTAAGCAATATGTTTGTTCATTTTTTATTTTTAAAGAGACTCATTATGTACTACAATTTATATAGTATTAAAAAACAATTGAAAATCAGTGTAGTTTTGTGAGATCCAAACATAACAAATTATTCGAAAATTATTATAAATATATAAATTATTCTTAATATTTTCTTACTTATTTCTTTCTATTGTGTAAAACAATTATCTTACTTGTGTGGAAGCGATTTGTACAATTCTTTAAAGAATTTATGACATATCCGAGATCTTCTTTATTCGATACAGATTTAGATTTAATATTGCACAATTGTTGCTTGTGAAAAGTAATTGTTCATTATATTTAGATCTGACAATGTTGTTAGTTATTCTGAGACACTTATTTATTATTCATCAACATAGTCTTTAATATCGTTTGCTATATTTGTATTTACGTTGCATTATTGTAATATATAATTATCATTGGCGATTGACGTCATAAATTTGTTTATTTCAACATCTATGGAGTCAATATCATCACAACATGAATCAATAATCTTCAGCACTTCAATCCTCTTTGGTGAGCCTATAGACACATTATTGGTGTGAGCTACAAGAGATTTAAGGAATGTTGAAATCGATCCACAATTTAAAGGTTACTGTCGAATAAAATCGATCAATAATTGTTGAAAAATTAGTCGAAAAGTGTAATTTATCTGATCTTATGCCTCTTCATTATTTATTAATTAAAAATATAGATATACATACATTGCAAAAGTGCAGTACTTACAAAATAACTCGATCATATCTGTTTTGAAAATTTAAGATATTCAACT